TCTGTCTCTATGTCTCTCTCTGGCGAGCGCACGTGCCCTATAGCGAAAACCTCTCCAAAAAAAAAAAAGAATAAATAAATAAATAAAAAAGAACTAAAAAGCTGAATGCTTTTATTTGTATCATATATGTTGTTTACAATCAAGTTTTACTAGAAAATTTTAAGAAATTAACTCAAATTTTATTAGAAAGAAGTTTTTTTATTAATTCCTCAACTTCAGGAGCAGCAGTTAGTGTAATGGCCATGTTGCTGGACTCCCATGTAGTCAACCGTGGTTCGAGTCCTGGACCTGGTGGCTTAAACTCACGCCAGGCACGTGTACGTGTGTGCCCAAGATTTCAAGAGAAGAATGGAGGAGAAGGGATTGCGGTGTGGCCATCCCACCTGGGCGGTGATTTCTTGCATTCTATCTCTCTGTCTCTCTCTCTGTGTTTCTGGCAAGGGCACATGCCCTATAGCAAAAAACTCCAAAATAAATAAAAAAGCTTCTGGAAGCATCACCTATCTTCTAGTCCTCTGTTTATTCAAGGATTCTACAGTGTTTACGTATGTGAGTTTACTTTAAAAGAACTTAATTTTGAACAGAAAGATAAATACACTTTTGCTTTGCTACAGGGTATGCGCTTGTCAGAGGAAAATACGGAGACAAGGAGAGGCAGAAAGCACCTTCCAATGGGTTGCCGTCATACCATTATCCCTTCTCTATTTTCCTACTGTATCAGGATTCTGGGCATGCGTGCACACATGCCCAGCATGTTCTTTAAGCTACCAGGGTCAAGATTCAAACTGTGCAGTTGGTTGCACAGGATCTGGCTTCCTTACCACCAGGTCACAGAGCCCGCCACACAATTAAACTTTAAATTTCATCTTTGTCGGGACCAGCAATTAGCGTAATGGCTATGTCGCTGAACTCCCATGTAGTCAACCGCCGTTCAAGTCCTGGACCCGGTGGCTTAAACTCACGCCGAGCACGTGTGCTTGCGTGCCCAAGATCCTGAGAGTAGAATGGAGGAGTTCAGATTGTGGTGGCCATCCCCCCTGGGAGGTGATTTCTTGCTTTCTATCTCTCTGTCTCTCTCTGTCTTTCTGGCGAACACACACACCCTATAGCAAAAACTTCTCTAAAATAAAAAAAAATAAAAAATAAAGAAACAAAATAAAAACTTTTTTTGAGAGAATTTTTGCTATAGGGTGCATGTACTTGCCACAGAGAACCAGAAAGCAAGAAATCACCCCGCAGGGAAATGGCCATGCTGCAATCCCTTCTACTCCATTCTCTTCTTGGGATTTTGAGCAGTATACATACACACATGCCTGGCCTGAGTTTCAAGCCATTGGAGCTGGGACTCAAACCACATTTGATTACATGAGAGTTCAGTGCCTAAACCACTATGCCACCTGCTGGCCCTGGAATTTTTAAAAAAATGTTTCTTTCTTCAGAGAGAAAAAGAGATAGGAAGACAGGCACCTCTAACAGGGTGTTCATGCTGCAGCCCACCCCCGTCTCAGCTGTCCAGGGTCACAGGCACATGAACCCAGAATATGTGCGTATTCTGCGGGCTCAGGGAGGTCCCAGGACTTGAACCCAGGACCTTGCCCGTGCAGGAACCGCGGTCGACTACGTGGGAGTCCAGCGACATAGCCATTACACTAACTGCTGGTCCCTCCAAAAAAATTTTTTAAAGTCCCTTACAGAGCTAACCAGTGGCGTGGTGGTTAAATCAGACGGATCTCCCAAAATGACTGTGTGGTTTGAGCCCTGGACCTGGCAGCTTGAAAAACACATGGGGGGACCAGCAGTCAGCGTAATGGCTATGTCGCTGGACTCCCACGTAGTTGACCGTGGTTTGCGTCCCGGACCCAGTGGCTTAAAACTCACGCTGGGTGCATGTGCATGTGTGCCCAAGATCCCGAGGGGAGAATGGAGGAGAAGGGATTGTGGCGTGACCATCCCCCCTGGGGGGTGATTTCTTGCTTTCTGTCTCTCTGTCTCTCTCTGTCTGGCAAGCGCATGTGCCCTATAGCAAAAACCTCTTAAAAAAAAAAAAAGAAAAAGAAAAACACATAGGGCACATGTGTATGTATGCTGGACCCAAAAATGCAAGAATGGAGAAAGGGATTGCAACATGGCCATCCCACGAGCGATGCATCCTTACGGGGGGAGGAAAAAAAAGGGCCAGCAGGTTATGTGGTGGTTAAGGTGTTAGATCTCACATGGCCAAGTCTGCAGTTTAAGTACTGGACTTGGCAGTGTGAAAAAAATTATAAGCATGTATGCCCAAAATTCCAGGAAGAGAGAGAAGGGCCAATGGTGTGGCCATTCTCCTTAGGGGTGTTTTCTCTCTGGTGAGCACATGCACCCTATAGCAAAAACCTTAAAAAAAAAAAATTAGGTCCACTACATACTTCAACTATAGTTTACCTGTGCAGGAGGTGATTGTAGAGGATTGTTATCTAGGATGATCATCTGTAGGTGCCTGAGGTTCCGATAACAAAGAGGGATTGTTGTGACTTTATTGCATGAGAAGTCTATCCGTATCAAAGGCAATTCTGCTAGCTCTGCATGGAGGTAAAATGGAAATTTTAAAACTCAACAATTTTTGCAAGAGCTTCTAGTTAAATATGGTGGATTTAACAGTCATTTACTTAAATTCTTTTAGTAATTAATTGATATGATAAAGTGGTATAAAATTAAATCTAACTGCCTACAAAAAGGAATACTAAAAAAAGCAAGCAGCTTGGTCCCCCCCTCAGAACTACAGAAAGTCTCAGAAGCTACAGGCCCTGAAACTACAAGTGAGAGTAACAATGGGACTGAATGACAGCTTACATAATTAGCACCTACATCTAGGTCCCCAACCTCAGCTTAAACATCTAGGGCACTATTATTTTCCAATCTCCATAAGAGTTAGTGGGTTATTTTCTGGTGAATTTGGACATGGAAGGGTCTGTGCTCAGGAGCCCACAGACACAATGGAAACTCAGTTAAAAATGGAAGATTTCAGTGAGTCTATACACTTAAGGTAACACTTCAGCACCTTCCACCCATCCCACCTCATCTCTAGCCCTTCAGCCCTTGAATGCCATAGTTAGGAATACAGTAATGGAACATGGGTCTCTGGAGAAATGACACAGTCTCATATAAAAGGCCTTTAGATATTGATATGAAGCTTACCCTAATAAAGTACCAGCTTGCTTCTTAACTACTATCATATACTGTCTGCCTAGTAGACTCAGAACTTCTAATCAGCTATACAGACAATATATGACCTACAATCATCGAGAAAAGCTCCCAACATGTAAGATGGAAATCAAAACCAACCAATCAACTGAAAATAGGCACTCAGAACAAATTAAGAAAAATACAGAGAAAGAAAAAAATTCCAAAATCTAAAATTCGTATCTTTTTATTTTATTTTATTTATTTATTTTTTTTGGAGAGGTTTTTCGCTATAGGGTGCATGCGCTTGCCAGACAGACAGAGAGAGACATAGAGACAGAAAGCGAGAAATCACCCCCCAGGGGGGATGGTCACGCCGCAATCCCTTCTCCTCCATTCTCCTCTTGGGATCTTGGGCACGTACGCACATGCGCCCGGCGTGAGTTTTAAGCCACCGGGTCCGGGATGCGAACTGCGGTCGACTACGTGGGAGTCCAGCGACATAGCCATTACGCTAACTGCTGGTTCCCCGTATCTCTTTATTGTTGTTGTTGTTAGTTTTTGCTATAGGGCATGTGCGCTCACCAGAGAGAGACAGCGATAGAGAGAAGGGGGTGGGGATGGCCACAATGGAATCCCTTCTTTCAGTCTTCTCTCAGGATTTTGTGTGTACCTGCCCACATGATCGGTGTGATTTGCCAGGTCCAGGACTTGAACCACAAAGTTGGTCATGTGAGATCCAGTCCTTTTTTAATGCTTTTTGAATACATATAGGAGAGATTTTTTGCTACGGGTGTGTGCACTTGCTATAGAGAGAAAGAGACGGAGAGACAGATAAAAGCAAGAAATCGCGCCCCTGGGGACATGACCATACTGCAGTCCCTTCTCTTTCATTTTCCTCTCAGGATTTTGGGCATACATGTATACACACCATGTGTGAGTTTCAAGCCTCCAGGTCCAGGACCCGAACCATGGTCAGTCATGTAGGAGTCCAGCAACGTAACCATTACACCATATGCTGGTCCCAATGTAATATATCACTTAGTAAAAAATTAAAGTAATTTAAAATAAAATAAAAATGGTAATATAGAGACTATCAATTAGGATGGACTTCTGGGCCAGCCTGTGGTATGATGGCTAAGGCAGCTGGATCGCACATAGCTGACAGTATCGTTGGAGTCCCAGACTTGGTGACTTGTATGTAAAACACACTGGGCGTGTGTGTGTCTGTGGCCAAAATCCTATGAAGAATGGAGGAGAAGAGAACACAGCATGCTTTCTTTCTCTCTCTCTCTTGTTTGGTCACTCTGGTGAGTACATGCATACTACAGAAAAAACTGAAAAAAAAAAAGAAAAAGATGAGCTTCCATATTAAGTAGTGTAGCTGTTAGAATAAGGGTGTTTTTTTAATGCAATCTCAGTTTTTCAGTTTAACTGAATATGCTGAGATTCCATGATAAATTGTTTTAAAAAAACTGAAATTATTTAGGTGATTCACCATTTTCTTGGTAGAGAGGAAAGATATACAAGATTTTGGGTAATGTGGTTGTGTTTAAGTGTAAAAGGTGAACTTTCTTACATGTTTACTTAGAATCTAAAAAAGGCAAAGCAGAACTAGTATGTTAGAACTAAGTATTTTACTACATCAACCTAGTATAAACATTTGGATTCTACAATGAAAGCAAAAACATCATTAGCTGATTTTCTATTTATTAGACAAAAAGTCCTGTCTTATAGAGGAAAACCATAGTCACAAAAACACCTTCTGAAGATTCCTTATCTTTTAGGTATATATTCTGAAATGTTTACAAATAAATTTTTGGAATTTATTTCAAATTAATCTAGAGGTTAAGGTGGGTTAAAGTAGAGGAGCTAGAAGGCTGGGGAAAGAGGACTGGTATGCCATGATTGTTATAGCTGGGTGGTGAAGACATGGAGGTTCATCATTGTCATTTACGTGTGAAATTTAAGAAATATATATCCAGAATCTAAAAAAATAGTGCTTCTCCCCAGTTTTCACTTTCTTTTATAGTTTTTAAAATTAATTTGTATTTGTGAAAAATTGATGAATTATACATAATTTATTTAATCATTTTTATCATTCAAATACATACACCAGAGTTTACAGTCAGCTAAAGATAACCAATCTCCTAGTGTAGACTCTCACTTCATTCATTACTGATTGCTCCACACATCACGTCCATGTGCTTAATTAGCCTCTGAACTTTTCCAGTGAAAGATAAAGTTAAGTTCAGGTCGAAGTCCACTTTCAAGTCAGTCACACTGGCTGTAACTTATGTATTTTTCTCTTGTGCCCATGAGTCTGAGATAACTTTAAAATAAAAAGACAAATGATAGAAAGGTATTTCACAGTTTCTTACCTTCAGGCAAGTGTACTAAGTGATTTCTTCTTACATTAAGGTCTCTCAAGGCCTCCAGATTACCAATTTGGGAAGGTATAGTTTGAATTTCATTGCAGCTTACATCCTATTTTAAAAGGACACAAAGATTGTTCTAATATTATAAATTTGCTTGCTTTGAACGATCTATAAAATGCGATTAGTTAATACCTATAGTCTCTCCTATAGTCTATAGACCCTCCCAGTTGGAAAAAAATATTATGACTGTCTCTAAAAATATTTCCATAGTTTGATCTTACATTTAATTTAAAAAACTTAATAAGCTCTTATCACACATAGTGGTGTGTGCATACAGTCTAATCTACTTGAGAGGGTGAGGCAAGAGACCACCAGTTCATGACTAGCATGGACAGCACGGCAAGATCCTGTCTCACAGAGCTGGGCAGGAGGACTGTCACAGAGCAAGACCCGGTCTAAAAAAAGAAAGGAAAAGAGCAAAAACAAAAACACCCGCCTAAAATATCAGTTCAACTATTTAAGACTATAAAGTAAAAATACATGTGAGATGACTCAAATAATTATCAAACTGAATAAGGGAGGGAAAAGTAATCGAATACATGTAGCTCAAAGGCTATGGAAACCAGAGATTGCCCTCTATCACCATTTGGTCTACCTGATTCCGTTACAGACATCAGGTCGGCCTTCTGCTATGCTGGTGAACAGTCCGATTCCAATGGCTCATAACAGAGACTATTGACAAATTTTGAAGGTTATTTTTATTATTTTTTAAAGAATTATTTAATTTAATTTAATTTAATTTTGACCAGAGAGGTACAGAGTGAGATAATGAGAGAGAGGGGAAGTGAGAAAGCAAGCTATCAGATTCGGGACTCAAACCATGGTCACCCATGTGGGAGTCCAGCATCCTTAATCACCATATCACTTGCCAGCCCCTTGAAGACTTATAACAGATTCAGAATTCAGTATTCCGAGACCAGTCAGGATAATTTGTAAACTCATAATCATGTACAGCAGAAGGAAGCTGCCTAGATAAATAAAAGCTTCAAGCTGCCACATTAACACTAGAAAACAGGTCATTTATTAATTAGAAAAGACCACCCATAAAAAAAATTTAACGAGCTGCAGGTATTACATCTTGATTTCCCAAAATATTCTTAGGGAAAACAATACTATTTTAATTCTTCCTACCTAACAATGACTGAAGTAGAATGAATCAGAAGCTAGGTTTCTTTTTTTTTTTTAATATTTTTTACTTACTATTTATTATTCTTCAATTTCATCACAGAGAGACAGAGAAGAGAGAGAGAATAAGTGAGAAAGCAAGCCCCCAGGTCCAGGACTCAAACTGTGTTCAGCCATGTGGGAGTCTAGCATCTTAACCACCACGCCACCTGCCAGCCCCCAAAATCTTGAGTTCTGAGTCCAATACTCTAGGCATAAAAGTTAAAAGAGATTGAAAGGATAGGAAAATTAAGTCTGAGCCAAAAGTTTAAAATAGCATTTTATAATCTATCTTTCCAAAAACATATTTATTGAAAGACAACAGTTTACTTCCACTTCAAAATGAAGGGGAAGGGACCAGCAGTTAGTGTAATAGCTATGTCACTGAACTCCTATGTAGCCGACCCCGGTTCGAGTCCTAGACCAGGTGGCTTCAACTCACACTGGGTGTGTGTGCATGCATGCCCAAGATCCCAAGAGGAGAATGGAGAAGATGGGATTGCGGCATGGCCATCCCCCCTGGGGGTGATTTCTCGCTTTCTGTCTCTCTGTCTGTCTCTATCTTTCTGGCGAGGACATGCGCCCTATAGCAAAAAACAAAAAAAACAAACAAAAAAATCTCTCCAAAAAAAAAGGGGGGGGAAGGAAAGAGGCAATAAGAAATACAAAGAAAGAAAATCAGGTGCGAATGAGAAGTTTTAGGATTGTTAATTTTTTTTTTTAAAGAGACTTGGTTTTTGCTATAGGGTACGTGTGCTTGCTAGAAAGACAGAGAGACAGAAAGCGAGAAATCACCTACCAAGAGGGATGGTCACACTGCAATACCTTCTCCTCCATTCTCCTCTCGGGATCTTGGGCACACATGTACCCGTGCCCAGTGTGAGTTTTAAGCCACTGGGTCTGGGACTCGAACTGCAATCATCTACGTGGGAGTCCAGCAACATAACCATTACACTATCTGCTGGTCCCAAGATTGTTAATTCTTACTCTACCACAGGCTCCTTATATGACTGAGCATGACATATATTAAAAAAAGCTTCTGTGAGATATAGGTATCTTTGAAGTATTTAGGACTGAATAAGTAAAAAAAAGAAAGTTCAAATGATTCGAAAATAAGAATTTCAATTAGATTATAATTTACTACTAATTCATATTATTAACCCAAGTTATAAAGAATGCCACACATATAGTGGACTCATATCTAGACTCTAAATTTAATATATTTGTAATTTTTTTTTTTTTAGTTTTTTTTTTTTTTTTGAGAGATTTTCACTATAGGTTGCGTGTGCTCGCCAGACAGACAGAGAGAGACATAGAGACAGAAAGCGAGAAATCACCCCCCAGGGGGGATGGTCATGCCGCAATCCCTTCTCCTCCGTTCTCCTCTCGGGATCTTGGGCACGCATGCACAAGCGCCCGGCGTGAGTTTTAAGCCACTGGGCCCAGGACGCGAACCGCAGTCAACTACATGGGAGTCTAGCGACATAGCCATTACGCTAACTGCTGGTTCCCTATTTGTAAATTTTTACACATGACCTCTTCTATTTATAATTGATCTTAAAAAAAGTGATCTAATTTGTGGTCCAACTTGACTATGTATATATTGATTTTTTCTGTTTAGGATAACCATCTTTGGGCCAGCAGGTCACATGGCCGACCACAGTTTGAATCCCAGATCTGGCAGCCTGCTTTCTCACTTGGCCCTCTCTCTCTGACTCTTCTCTGGTTATATAAAAATATAAATAAATAAAATTGAATAAATAATTCTAAAGAAAAAAATGGATAACCATCTTTGTTGATAAATCTACATGGAACTATACTTTGAAATCTCAATAGACACAATTATATTTGGTAATTCCAGAAATATGAAACACAGGCTTCAGCATTAGAGTAGAATGGTTTCAAATTCTGTTATGTAACCTGAAGCAATTACTTAATCTGACTGCTAGCTTCCTAAGGTATAAAATATAATATAGTACCCAATTTATAATATTTTTGTGGTAACTAAATGAGAAGGTCTTATTCCTATACACGGAACCTAAGTATTCAAGAGGTGTTTTCTTACCATTTAGACGATCTGACAGGTGAAAAACTTCTATTAAGCATCTTAGAAAATACATGGCAATGGGACCAGCAAATGGCATAATGGTTGTGTCGCTGGACTCCCACATAGTTGATTGTGGTTTGAGTCCCAGGCCTGGCAGCTTAAATCTCACGCCAGGTGTGTTTGTGTGCATGCTCAAGATCCCAAGAAGAGAATGGAGAAGGGAATGCAGTGTGGCCATGCCCCCTGGGGGGTGATTTCTCACCTTCTGTCTCCCTGTCTCTCTGGCAAGCACATGTGCCCTACAACAAAAAAAAAACTCTCTTAAAAAAAAAAAAAAAAGAAAAGAAGAAATTACATGCAGGAAAGAATAAATACTATATTTTAGAGTGAGAGATAGGTTCTAAAGATACTATAGAAAGCAAAAAAGTAAGCCTC